AACAAATTATATTTTTCTGCTTGTCGTTTTTGTTATTATTGTTAATACACAATAGCTTAATATTATTTAATGCATGAATGCACCAACGTAGAATTCAACGATTATAGTCGATTGGTTTTTAGTGTCACCAAATCATAGGTAAGTATTAAGGTTATACTACTGTTGAAATTGTATTACGAATAAATAAACTTTTTTGTAGCAACTTTGCGTCACTATCACGATAGTAAACTTTCAAGAAACAAAAAATAAAAATATAACAATATGTAGCATGTAGCCATGTAGGTTATGACATTATTATATATTAAGTATACCTATTTAATGAAAATTTAAACTAGCAGTGTTTGAGTTATTTTAGAGGACGTTGCACTTACAATATAAAACAAATGTAATAAATAGTCTATAGTCGGTTCTTATATACCTCGTACGATTTAAAAATAAAGTTAGATGTTAAATTAATAAAATTAGTTGCTATAATTTTAATATCATCAAAGTCTCCATATATACTTTGAACCTTATGTCGCACGGATAGATATATATTATATACATTCATATATATATATTCTAGTTCAGTATATTATACTATATATGTAATGTTTAATACATCGAAAAGTAGGTACTCGCTGTATAGATGTATCCGTATTTAGATTGAACATTTTTTAAATAAATCATGATTGAAGTAAAAATTGTGGTTGCGCATCCTTGATGAACGCATAAGTGTACAATATATTCCATATGTGCTACGACAATAGTGCACTGATACTACATGATGACGTCTCTATCGTTACCGCAGTCGATCATTTGCGCGACGCTTGGTTTTAGTATAATTTTTATTATAATAATAGTAATTATAATTATTAGTATTACACAGTGTAGCAATATTATAATGTCTAACCCACACACATACATTATTATAATATTATATAGATAATAATAATATAAACGACTATACGAGTAGTATATTATACCCAATATTAACAAGATAGTGGTTTTTTCCTGTTATCGAAACCCGCAGACGGAAAACGACCGCTATTAAAATAATTTTTAATAACGTCGACCAACCTACTTCGTTAAACATCGTCGGGAAATTTCACTCGTAGTATTCAGACGGTGCGCCGGCTACGAGGAAAGCCAACCATATATAATAATAGTCATATGCGTGTGAGTGTGTGTGTGTGTGTGTGTGTGTGTGTGTGTGTGTGTGTGTGTGTGCATATGTATTATTGTTAAAATGTTAATTGGACAGAATTTGCGGTCGCAACCATAATGGAACTGGCGCGAAATGATAATTTTCATGTTTGCAATGATATTATTATGAGTGCTGTGTATTTACATAGGAATTTCATTATAATAATAATAAAATACAAGCAATAATATGTAATATCGATTTACAATGTTTTAATTGTACGTACCTATATATCATGTTATCATATTACTGTGGTCGCGGGGTCCACAATGGTGCAGTGGTAAACGTATTACTTCAGCCGTACGCTTTCGTATCGTTTCGACACCTGTAAGCATACTGTATACATATTACATATTACATATTATATAATATATATAAGGATAATATTTAGATTAATATGTATATTATAAATTTTTGTGTGTACTATTGGTACAAAGATCCGACAAAGACAATTAATTCCGAACCATTAATGATATGGAAAGGAATGTGATTTTTTAGGGAAACATAAAAATATAATATTGAATTAAATATTAAATTATTATTTATTATAATTATTATACAGTTATTATTTAATTATTATTTATTATTATAAAATATTACAGCTATTTAATATTATACACGAGACGTGGACAGTAAAGATATAGTTGTCGATACCACAGTAATTTGTTAAGTCGGGTTCTCAGGATGATGATAGTTGTATAACGCGATAGTTATAATTGTGGCAGTTGAAAATATAATTTATCTAAATATTTAATTGATCAGCATAGGCGTAGGCTTTTGAAAAAAAGGAATCTTGGGTCCCACCTGAAATTGTTTTTTGTGTAAACATCATGAAGGGATTTTTTAAAGATAATTGTAAATAGGTATTTTAAAATTCAATAGGTATTAACTTTACAAAATGTTATGGAACAAAATTAATGTAAACGGATTGCATAATTGTGGACAAATTAAAGACAGTTTCATAATTTATACTATTATATAGGTACAAACAGTTCAAATACTTCAGGAGATTATCATTTTAAATTTTTAAAGTTTTTAATGTTATCACACGACGCAGCGGCAGTATCATTTAAATATAATACACATGAACCATTAGAGCAGCGATTCTCAACCTTTTTGAGTTCGCGACCCCCTATAATGTCATCAAGATGTCCAACAACCTTTTTATAATGTAAGCATTAAAAAATTGAACCAACTGTTATTATTGTATTTATTTGTGTATATATATTTCACAAAAAAAGGTATATTATGTACACTTCAATGAACGTTTTTATCGACTACCGAACTATCCAAATATATATATATATATATTATAACACTTACTATTAATTATAGGATTTTAAGTGAAACAATTTTTTTCCCACATGGATTGACGACCCTAAAATAATTGTTGGCTACCCCCCGGTTGAGAATCGCTGCATTAGAGAAATCGTCTATGTTCGTGATAATATATAAGGTCTTCAAGTTGTATGATAAAAATAGTTGACAACCATAAATCAACATAGTCTCCACCGTTATTTATTAAAAAATATATTAACAATAAAAAATATTATTGCAAACAATAACGGTGGAGACTATCGATTTATCGTTGTTAACTATTTTTATCACACAACTTGAAGAACTTATATATTATCATTTATCACGAACATAGACGATTTCTCTAATGGTTCATGTGTATTATATTTAAATGATACTGACTCTGCGTCGTGTGATAACATTAAGAACTTTAAAATGATAATCTCATGAAGTATTTGAACTGTTTGTACCTATATAAATATAGTAGTATAAATTATGATACTGTCTTTAATTTGTTTACAATTATGCAATCCGTAAGATGTTATATTAGTTATGACAAAATGTAGCGTATCCCTTGAATAATGCGCAACGAACTCATTAACACATTAGTAATGGTAAGAAAGACATTTCTAACTATAGTATAACATTATGACTGCTTTCTTCAAGGCTAAAGATAAAATGTATTAAAATTTAATAACTATATTCATGTTTGCAGCATCTTGCAAGTATATTATAATGGTTATCCTTCAAAGGTAATTTTTTCTTTGAATAAACTTATAAGAATGGGTACCTATCTCTTATTCTCCTCTATAGTATAACAAGATTAATTTGAATATTGATACGGGCATACGGTTTTGTATTATTATAATATGGTCACAAAGGAGAATCGATTATTTAGGTACGTAGGTACTGAATTAAATTAAACATTTTTTTTTCTGATCTTACTTACCTATACTAGAATTGTAGATTCAAATGATTGAATTTGTATTTCAAAGTAATGTCAATACGTCAGTAATTTAACGTTAAGTATCATAATATTTGACATTGAATGTATATATGCTATTTGTAGGTAATAATAGGTATTATGATAATATCATCATCATATTATGCACCATCATATAGTATCATTGATATTCGTTAGTGCAATTAAAGTGCATCCTAAATTATCATTAACATTGTTATTTAGATAATTGATAATGCCTTAAATCATAATATTATGTAAAATTTTGCTATTAAAATCTACAACCAAAATTATGTTTTAAATAATTAATCATTCGTTGTTTTGGTAAACATAATAAAATAAATGTTTTTATTTTTCATTTTGAATTATACGTTCGAATACACATTCCTCTGCAGTGCATGTACAATATATTAGTAAATTCCACATTATTATTATACGCAGAAGGCAGAACAGTTCAGGTAAACGATTTATTGTGTGTTCGTTTAAGCACATTTAAATTCTATCAAAATACACTTAGGCAAGTTCGTTATTGTGTTTACTTTGTTTGTGTTTATTGAATTTAGAATTTAACTACTGGTTTGCACAACTCCTAGGATCTGTTTTAATCAACTACGGAATATTAATACCTACATATAATATTGCTCTTACAACCGACCCTTTCAATTTACCTTGAAGTACATTTATAAATTATGTAACTTATTACATTGATTGGAATTAGCTTTTATGTTTCAAAATATATCGTTATAATTTAAAATGTTATTATTTATTTTTATACATTGTTTTAATTTTAACATAATAACTACTATAATTTCAAATTAAACAATACGATTTCTAGGTTAACTGATAATTATTATTTGAATATCTGTCGACTGTCGTGCTGTAAGTTCTTCACAGTTTTTGTCAACTCAGAAATCACGGAAACAATGTTCAGCGAATCCGAGAGACCCAGTACTGATCGTAATTAATTACATGTCATTAATCAGAATTCAACAGGATCAAGCACTACCAACTCGACATAAGACCACCGCTCCAACGCTGCCTTAGACGTGGACGCCCTCACGACCTAATTGTTTAAATAAACGCTAACTTTGCCACTACTTACTACTCCATAATAATTATCGCACTTTGCAAAACTAAACATGTACAATATTGTCATTACTAGATATATATAGTGCAGACTAAGAATATCTTACTGTTGTTTTTATAAATGAAAAAAAATATGTCGTTTAATTCGATCAGTGGGTATAGTAAACAGTGTGTTTATGATTAATAGAGTGTAAGATTTATTTTTTTAAATAGCCGATTTGTTAGATGTTTATCATCACTGTTGACCTTTTAAAACAATATATCAATCAATACTATTTTCATCGATTAAGCAGAGGGGAACGATTCTACGGTCTCCAACGTTACTGCTTTTTTTTTTTTTTTTACAAGAAAACTTCATTTATTACTCTGCCGTGGTGACAATACAATAGTTCATTATGGAAATTCTTTCGATTTGATCATATCAAATCCTAACATCAGGACATTCAAATTGGATAAGCGTTTTTAACAGAAGTCATGCCTATCGCAGCGGACACTCCTGATGATGACGATGACGATGACAATGACGGAGACATGCAGGTTTGGTTTTACCGATAATAAGATTGGCGAGATGATCAACAACTCGATTATAAAATATGCATTATAATTACATTAATACCTACTTTACAGTTAATTTAATAAAATAAATGTAATTTTTCAAATAGTATGAAAAAAGAAATATTTTTAATATTATTTTTCCGGTTGAATTTAAAATGCTCCAATTCTAATTTGTTAATAATGTAAATTAAGTAAGTGCAAAATAACGTGGGAAGTTGATATATAATCAAAAACATGAAAGTTAAATACGGAACTAAATATATATATATATATATGTGTGTAATATAGACATTTGCTTATAATATTTGCGGTTTTTAAACACCAATTAAAACAAGTACCTAGTTCAAAACAATTCTAAAATAATTATTTCTATAACATTATAAAACGACTCACTTGTTTTTATCAACTATTAATTTAACCCACAAAATAAAATTTTCTAAATAATTATAAAATTATATGAAAATTATAAAAATTATTATTATTAACAATATTGGTTATTACTGTAGCTCATAAAAAAAGGTATTAGTAATAATACAAAGTATTTTATTTATAAAAAAAATGCTTGCTATTAAATATTAAAAAATTTTTTTTTAAATTTTTCATGATTTTTGCCCTAGCCATAATTATTTGTTAAATGTATAAACTATAACCAAAGAGTTATTAAGATAAATAAATAATTTTTTTTTAGAGACGCGAGGTCGATGACATTTTGCCAATATATTATTATTATTAGAATACTAAAATTATGATCAACTTTAATATCTACGCCTCACTATTATGTTATTATTAAAACCACTAAAAAATGTGTGACTTTAAAATTACATTTTAAATCCCGACCGATCAAAATAAACCAAGCTGTAATATAATCAAATACAAAATTAATATTTACCGCATCACTAAATGATAGGCGATTAACTATGTATGTACAACTATACTACATATTATTAACATCTTAAAAATGTAGTCAAAAATAAATCAATAAATAAATTAATGAAATATTGAAATTTTAGGTGCATAAAGACATTCATTGTGATAGGTAGCATCGTTAGAATAATATTTTAAAATAATAATCTCATTTTATAGATTTCATCAATGCAATTAGACTATGTAACTATGTATGTTCTAAACAATGTTTCCATTATAGATAGGTATGAGATAGCTGTTGTTCTGGCCTAAAGATAGAGCATAATGACCGCACCAAGACAACACAATATATCTTATTAGTAAAATAGCATAGAACATAATTAATATTAAAACATTATGATAGAATCAGAATCTATAGACACCCCGATGTTCATCATACACACATCTCTCATGTTTTAATGACGTGCCGTTCTCTCGAGAATGATCGATAATAATCTGGGAGGTAAGACGAATTATCAGATAGGTACTCGTATTATATTCTTAAACACCTAATAATAATAATTTATATTTGTGAAAGTAAAACACATTCCGGAACTAGTTTCTTGTATGATACATATACTTATGCAGATAGATGAATAAAAACTCTGAGGTGACTCAACGATAGTGTGTAAAAAGAATCGCACATAGTAATATAATTATCTGTGTGTGTAAAAAATTATTAAAACGAAATGATAAAAAAACGACCACGTTGGAGTGAGTCATTCCCAACGTTTGTGGCTGAAATTGCCAAGCAACGATAGCGTATTTTGTTCGCAATAGATTTCAGCGGGTTGGACTCGACTGCGATAAAATCGTAGCGTCGATATTAAATTCTCCTGTGCTTAATTTAGATTACAATTGATGTATTTTCTGTAGCATAAGTCCTACCTCCCAATAATAATGACCATCGGTATCATAATATTAGTTTACTCTCCGGCAGACGCAGACCAACCGTTCGTCTGTAGAATATGATATAATGGGTGTTTTCGCAGGGTTTATTGTTGGCTGTTTTAGCAGTTGCAGCGTGGCCGTTGACGACTGGGTGGGGAAACGTGCCGGGTGGTAGTCACGTGCGGGCACTGAACGAAACGAATTTCCAAGAGACGATGGAAGAAAATTGCTGCGTCCTGGTGTTTTTCCACGCTGAATGTGAGTAGAATTCACGTAGAACGTTCCGAAAATCAATGTGATACCTTGCGACGTAATAACACTGCAGGACACATTCTCTAGCGAAAACGGTCGTATGTCTTTTGTAGGTATAGGTCTGAAGTGGTGGCATGTTTACGTATTTATAAGGCGGGTAATGTACTAGATGCTAAACATCTTCTACCTAGCCCACCCACCCCTCAAAAAAAAAAGATGAATTCTCACTTAAATCCTACTAAACATTGATTAGTAATGTACAATTATATTATACATAGTCGTTAATCGTTAGTGATCATATTATCCTGATAATTAGTGTATAGTATCCATATGAATATAATGTGTTACGCCAAATTCGTGAAATTGCCGAGTTCACGAAATCAGCAAATAGCCGTTGCCAATCGTTGAATACTTGAAATCGGCATTTACAAGGGCATAATACCTATACTACCGTCGTCTGCCGATTGAGTGCAAAATGGATGCGTATACACAGGTATAATAGTTTAGGTACACCGTATAGATACTGTTCATACGTCCTGTCACGACGTCATAATATATAATGTGATGTGTATATTATTATATATAGGCAACTATACCTATATAATACCTGCGACGAATGTATCATTTTTATGGGAGTTCCCACGCGCACAAAAGCGTTAACGAATAGAAATCCTCCTCTCGGTACACCAGTGGTATATCCGTAGTGAAATTATAGCTTTTTTCGTATGTTATTATAATATTAAATTATAATTGTCAGTGAGGTACCTATATACTATTATAGTATTATAATATGATGTGTTTAATAGTTATTATAATCGAGTAGTCAACTGTTGTTACGCGTTCGGCAGACACGTCGATTATCGGGGTTATAAGATAAAATCGAAACGATGTCGCAGTAAAATATTAGAAAGCTCGTCGTTTAATACGTTTTTATTGGCGCTACGGCCGTAGAAATCTATGCTTCGGAAAATCATATACGTTTTGTATTGTTAACAGGGCGTTCTAACTTATAATATTATGTTATAATAGTGTAACGTTTTCTACAAAAAATCTATTAATAGGATTAACAATTATTCTATTGTATGAGTGTACTGCGTGTGTAGGTGCAATATGGTACATATAATATAATACATCTATACATGTATATATATTTTGAATACAATATAGTACGTTGATACAAACGAATAGTACCCACGTAAAATAGAAGTGGGTACTTATTAAAGTAATGGCATTTTTCGGAAACAACCTTTGGATTTAATGAAAGCAATGAAATTAATTATTTAATAACAAATTTACAAATCGTACCTATAAAGTTTAATAAAAAAAAGTGGAGTAAAAATAATTCCATACCAAAAAAGTATATTATAATTTTTATTACGTGTATTAAATTTAAGCTTTGAGACCGAATTCGTCGACAATATAAAATTAGAACGATTTCACTAGTACCTAACTATATCTAAAAAAAAAACACATTAGCTGGCTTTACACGAATATCACGTATCTAAATTTTAAATTGTATTTTGAGCAACAAAAATTACATTCATCCATGAAAACGTTTTTAGTTCTTATAAAGAAAATAAAGATTGCACACCTACCTTTTACCAATCTACCTGAATTGTTGTGTCATTGTATTACTAATACATCCATGACTGTTGTGCCAGCTCTCGAGTTATTGTGGTAAGAATCGTCTAGTTTATCAGAACATTTAGTGCGTTTGTACATTAAAAAACGTACATCAAATATATTATAATATATACGTATACCTGCCATGTATGTGTTACTCTAAAGCAAGTTGAAATGTCATTGTACAATTTTAATGACAACTTCAAATCGATCGTTTATAGAAATGAAAATAGAACAGGTTAATGAAAATATTCATTTTTTTTTTTTTAATGTCAATAAAATAAAACTGTCCGATTATATTATTTTATAATATTATCACTGAAGTATTTTCACTTGCTCGGAGCCATTATAATAATATAGGTATGCGTAGTGATTAAGAAAACATATTTCATATAAATGTCCAAGTGTAATTATAAGAAAACGTATACACACAATCGGAATGCAAATAGGCAACGCAATAATATTATCAACATATAAATAATTTCCCACGAACAACGGGCCTTGATTGATGTGACTCTCTCTTGTGGCCCAAGAGTTCATGAATAGGTAATATCGAAGTTGTTTTTTTCTTTAAATATTTATTGCGTAGTACTGCTTTTCTGATACAGGTATTATTAGAATATGGTTGGCCACATAATAATTAAGAAGAGGTTATGCGCATGAGGTCAAAATAAACACTAACACTTTTAGAATGTCTCATCTACACTTCGTTACCGTCGAGGTCGGATTCGACAATATTTGTTATCGTGCAGTATGTTGTGGGTGACTGACCATTATTTTGATGCATTCGTGTCGGCACCATACCGCGTGTCATGCATGTAGAAGATTTACAATAATATTATATTTTAGACCATAGACGTACTGTGGTGATTCCTACAAAATAATATGTTAAAATGTCACATTATTGGAGAAATTATTATGTTTATCTCGTTTCTCCAAGTATGCCGATCACCACACAACATTTCATAATGTGCTTAAAATTGTGTGAAAGGATACGCGGCTTAGGCCTTACATTATGTGTTTGTTTTGGGCTGTGGCCACTATAATATAGGTATAATCTCAGCTATTAAACTATTTCACGTAACAACTTTACCGACCGAAAAAAAATCCATGATACTTAGACAAGTTTTTATTTTTATTATTTTAGGGTTTGAAGAAATCGATTTTTTTTTAACTTGATAGTTTATTACTTATCACAATTTTGGGTACTTACTAGCACGAGAGATGAAAACATAATATTGTACATTGGATTTGAAGAAATAGTTGATTTTATACAGGAATCATTAGGATGGATTAGTTTTGGTAGAGAGCGACGACAGGGGCGTAAATGGAAGGGGGGGGGGTATGCTTCAACTTTTTTTTAAATTCCTTCTTTGGCCTGCCAACAATATATATAAGCGCCGGTATACCTAAATATTTCATATTATTTATTTATTTATTTTTATACTTTTTAGTATTTAAAAATAAAATATTTTGTGCTAATGTGTTTTATTTCAAAAAATATTCAATGTGATCCGAAAATATTATAACTGATCGACAACCAAGAGAAAAACGATAACTAAATCAATATTGTCCATGGCAAAATATATCTAAAGCCAGCCTGAGCAATAATGTAATATTAAAAATGTTGGAGCAGACACGTCTTGATAAAAAGCTATTCGGCTTCTAGCGCCGAACAATAATAATATATTGATTATGTTTTTAGACAATAGTCCAGAGAGAAAACCCTCAATTTTTGCGCATTGTTTTGGCCTGAGGGGCTCCCTCCAAGATACCTCTAATCTATAATCATCGTCCGTGGATTGTTGGAACTTTATAATATTGGCTACTCGTTGTATTGCAATAATAAAAAAGCTCATAAAATAAATAATAATATAATTTACATTAACAAAATAAATTATACAAATATCCTATAGTTTTTGTTCAAACCCCCTCCCCCAAAAAAGGTACCTATGTGGTTTCATAATGATTTGAAATGACCTGAAAAAACTTTGGCACAAACAAAAAAGTTGAAAAGACACCCCTACGAGGGTGGACTACAAGTAATAAAGAGCAGGTGGAAGTAAATATCACAATTTGTCCCTAAATAACGAATGCAATTGGATGGGGAGGAGGTCGTCGAGCGAATACTCGTAATAAACTAGTATGTGTGTTGAGAGACGGAAGTAGGTTATCTATGTTTCAATCCGAGCCACAAACAGGTGGACATTTCTTTGCTAGACACACGTTGTCATACCACAGTTTATTGGAGGGGTAGAATTAGTATCAACAATAATGTTTTTGTTGAAAATAATGTCGGTCATGCACTCGTGCAGGATCAAGAAGACGTAGCTGACACTACGCGTAAGTAGGGAAATATATTTTTTATATTAATCCATTTATTTATTTTAGCGGCTAAGGGCATAGCTAAAGATTTTCAATTCCGACGTTATAATAATAATCGTGTTTCTTATATTTTATATTGTAAGACATCATGAGAACACACATTTTTTAAATACTGTAAGCTCCAACCACTATTATGACTACTACTATGTACCACCCTTAGAGTAAGTATACCTACCATATGTATACTTTGGGTAGTATGGAGAAAACTTCAGGACGAGTTTCTGTTCAAAAATAAACAACAATACACTCAATAGATAACAAATAATTATCGGAAGACGTTTCTACTTTTTCTTCGGGACAAAGTGTGTAGCGACATGCGTTCCTCATAGTCACACGACACAATATTTGTTTGAATATGATAAACGAAGTGTTCTAAACCGGCGCTTCCGAGTTGGGTCCTGAGTACTAGGGGCTAATCGCAGTTATTATACTAGTTGGGTCCCGAATTTTTGTATGTACTAACTAGTTCTTGAATATCAATAATAATAGTAAGTATATGAAGAATTGTATAATTTATATAATAGTATTTGATAGTTAGTTATATATAATATACATGTATATATATTTTATTTTAAATATTAAAAATACTAAAAGCCAAGCATAAAAATAAATATTATATAACATAAATAAACATAAAATAATTTTTTTGAAAAATCACATGTGAGTTGGTAAAAATTTAGTATAGTGTAGTACTTACCAAAAAATATTCAAGAACTAGTGTTGTAGCTAAAATAATTCAGGACCCAACTAGTGTAGTAACTATAAAAATCCTGGACCCAACTAGTGTAGTAATTTTAAATCTGGGACCCAACTCGGATGCAGCCTTCTAAACAACTCATCAACCCATAATTGTAAATTTTAATTATTCGTTCCAATTGGCCGACTACCATATACTATGCTCATAACGATATTAGAGTACATGGACTACACTATATACGCTATTGCTTAGTCTTAGCGACGACATCGTTAGAAATAGATACCAATTTCAGGATAAATGAGATAGGACCTGAACTGTATCTTTGATATTAAGCTTGTCTCTGTATTACACACACATACTATCAAAATGGGTACAAATAAACTTTAAGTTCTATGTTATCTTTATCTAACATTCTAACAATCTGTCTTCTATTTTTCACTCTGATATCAGTTAATTTCTTTAAAAGTCAATGAGTGTAATGCAGTCTTGCGCAGGGTGTCAATATTGCGGGCCGATAAAACCGGTGTTTGCTGAAGTCACCGCCGCGTTGCAGAGTGACCATTGCATCGTGGCCGCTTCCGTGGACTGTACGGATGACCCTGATTTGGCGATACGGTGCAACATCCACGTGCTGCCCTCCATGCTGTTCTTCTGTAACGGTAAACGGAGAAATACGGTGCAGTACCGGGGCAACTGGTCGGCTGAAGATATGAGACTGTTCGCGGTCGAAACGTCCGCCGCTGCGCACAAGCCCAAAAAAGTACGTAAAACCGGCGGAGTGGCAGGCAAGAAATACAGGGGTCAAGGCCAAAAGCAAAAAATTTTAAAATTTATAAAGAAAAAAAAAAAAAAGGTGTCTTGAAACAAAAAATGAAAACTGGCTGATGGAGTGCATTTAAATTTAAACGCGGTAAACAAGGATAATCACATAGCTAAAATAATATGTAACACGTGAGCAACGGTTTTTTAAATCAAATATAACTGCGTATCTATAGTGGTTACAATTTTACAAAGTGGGTAAATATACATTTTGAAAAAATCACCTTAACCCTGCGTAGGTCGCGTGCCTTGATAGTACGCCAGTAGTCGCGCGGATTACAGTTGTAATCCATTATTTTTTTATTTTTTTTTAATAGGTTCTAAGTCTATATTGAAAATTTAAATTATTGTTATATACTAAGTACATATGGAAAAATATATTGCGATAAAGAAAAAATTAAAATTAAAATTTTTTTACCTTAGAATATGAACTTTAACTTAAATGACAATAAATAATAATTTATTAGAATTTGTTTTCTTAAATTGTAATGATACTCAATGTAATTAAATTTTTATAATATTTCTGTATAAACATATTAATATTTAAGTATCTTACATATATTTTAGCTCTCTATATTAATAATTACAAAAAAAACAAGAGTACTTTATAAATTACTGTATAAACTTTACTTATAAACTACAGAAAAAAAACGGGCGTGAAAGATCGTACGGCATACACTGGTAATCCAACACACTTTGAACTCCGATAACAACGACAACTTTTGCGATCAGCATTCGGAAACAAACTAATTATATTAAGCAACATGTTATTCGAAGGTACTGAAAAGAAAAGATAATTCTATCGGTTTTCAATATACGAAAAAACCATTTATTTTTAGATGGATTACAATAGTAATCCGCGCGACCTACGCAGGGTTAACGCGTTCAATATGTATAAGTGTGACACTCTGCTAGATGTCCTGTTGACTACTATTTATAAAAATAATATTGAAGATCATTTTGTTCTATGACTGTATTATGAAGTGATACCTATCGGCGGTGATTATTTGATTATGGTACATAGGTTAGCTATACATTTGATGGTCAGAGAACAGAGTGGTTAGCGGTCAAAATCAATTTTAGTTCTCTATCTTATTCATGTACAGAACCTAAATGTGATTTAGAATACTTGTATTGCCTATGAATATGTATTGTCTTAGACTATATTATTAGCTGACCAACCTGTCGATAATGTCTGCCAAAGCTTTTGAACACACACACACTTGCAATCACTTTTTTGTACACAATATAATTTTCAGGAATTTCAATTTTGAATAACCTCAGCAGATAATTTTTGTATTCCAATTTATCTACAATACTTGTTGTAGTTATAAGATTCATTCCAAAGCTTTAATTTTTCAATTTATTTTAGTGTTCCTGTTGCGTTATATTTTGAACAAAATACAAAACACCGTGCATCCTACGTGATTTGAATTGTGTCAATCAAAATACATCAATAAAAATACTAAGTAATGTCATCACTCATCAAATACCTGTATAATGCAATAAGAAACCATACAAACAATATAAACCACTGTAAATAATGGAAATATGCGGCAGGTTATAATTTTTAAAAATACAACTTGTCACAAAATCATAAACTAAATTTCAAAAGTACTATTATTGTTATACCAACAACAGCTGTAAAAAATTTAATTACTGATTCAAATCTGTGAAGCAGGACACCGCAATTATGTACCTTCACGTCGACGGCAGTATATAATTGTGTAAGAATAATGTTGGAAATATAGAGTTGTGGTGGTTTCATTTCAGTAGTGTGCGACACATTTTATGCGACAGTAATATTTATTTTAGAAAATATACGTATTCTGTTCATTTATTATTTGTTATCAATTATAAAAACAGTAAATTATAATGATAATTCGATTTTTAAAACTTCTTTTTCGTTTTGAATTCGGCATTATGAACGAAATTCGTTACACTTTTTAATCAAATTTGGAAAAAAATATGTAGGAACGTACATATATATATATAAAGTATTTATTAGTATAACTGACAAAAACACATAATAAAAACATGGGTGTGAAATAAATTAAATTATTATTACTTTTGTAAAACTGATTGTGGCAAATTTGTTCACATGCATATATTATAATAAATTACACGTCATTGTAATACCACACTGTCTATATTATCGCAGCTCTATAATATTGTACACATGTTCGACAATAATAATTATTATTGTTCTTTTAAGTCAAGTGAAATGTTAATATTAAACGTCTCGTTAGAGTTTTTGATTACTTCATCAATAATTAGGTTTATTTAGGGGTTTGAATTTGAAATAATTCAATGAAATTATGAAAAATAAAAATGTTTTGTATATCTCATAACTCGTGATATATACCTATATGATTAATAACAATTAATTATTAATGAGTTTACATATGGCAAACATATAAAACTCGTGGTCTTGAAAATGGTTATCATATGTAAATGTATTATTTCAATAAGTATTTTATCGCTTATCAATAATTGGACCTATATTTTTGCTACGTATTTTTTAGCCAAATAATGGCGTTAAGGTTTGTCATTTATATAAATGCATTGCAGCACCTAGGTACTTTGAGTATTTGCATATTTCTCTTTATGTCTCTCTCTCTAATATAAATAACAATAAATCATAACTAATCTCTATAAAATATAACAGTTAATAAAGTTTTTATAACTATAAATAATATTAAGTAACAAATTTCAAATAATTCATTTTATATTATGGTCCAGGAAAAAAAATTAAGGAGGCATTGAAAAACTACATAACGCAGAGAAAGAAGTCATCGTGTTGTTGGAAAATGTAGAACTGCAATTACATCTTAGGGACACTGAAATAATCAACATTTTAATGATTTTAATGATCTTAAAAACTATATTTACCCAGTTAATTTTTGTGTGTTGTTAAACTTTATTTTAATATATACTAGCTGAAATCAACTTGTTGCCATAAGCAACAATAACCAATATGCACAATTTTTACATTATTTGTTTACACAGTTAATTTTTGTTTTATACGATTAAGATACTTTTAAAAATATTCACCGATTTGAAACACCCCTAATATATATAGTACTTGATAACTGGAGATATAAAAAAAACTATTTCATTTGAAATTTGTTTTTATTTTCCGAACGAATGAAATATTTCAAGAAAACAAATGTCATGACATTTTAAATGTCTATAGCTATACTCAGCGTAAAATGTCATCAACAATAAACATAACATAGTATAATTTATAGTCGTACACGCCGAGAGAAAAACGCATGCTAACATTGTGCTGCTGCGTGACTCGCGCATATCTCTTAGCTTATAATAATAATAAAATATACCTCTATATAATGAGTAGTAGGTAATGGTAGTAGTATAATAGTAGTCTGCATGTATTATCGGCGAGTATTTTTTCTCTGCCTCGTTAGACCGTATAGGTACGTACAAATGTATTAAATAATAACGCCACTGCTATATACAGGTACTTATTGTTTCGGCTTGACAGAACGCGCACGGACCGTCATTCATCCGTTCGCCAGTGGTTTTTTCGTCCATTGTATGCGTGTAATATGCAACCGGCGACATTAAATCAGTCCCACTGCGCAGAAGCCGAGCGACCGACGATGTGTGTGGCTGGAAAATAGGCCACGTCGGCTTTTAAACGCCCGCTGAGATGTGACTTCGATTTCGAAAAACTTGGTCCGACGGACCACGGATACCCTTTATGGGGGAGCGTTATACTAATATCGGTGTATAATGCTTGTTGTGAGAACATTGCGTGAATGAAACGACTATTAGGTACCATTGCTCTATTGATAAATAAATTTATACTTCGCGGTGCGATTGTCATGCTAATATTCCCGTAGATATAGAATGGTAAACTCGTGTTTGAAAATATCATGTTTTATTATGTTTGGCCAGGGACAAAAAAAATAACCTGACGAGGGTTTTGGCTCTATACATTAAAACAATAATATTTTATGAACAAAGGAAAGCGACTGGAATAAGCAACAAAAACAAAAAAGGGGAAAATAGATTCCACCTATACAGTTGACAGGTACTTTTGAGAATTAGTTATTTTTTATACGAATTTAGTCACAGTGAATTATTTAAGATAATAAATCGACATTGATAAAATTATACAGACTAATTGCAAAAAATTTAAGAATATCGAATATATTATAGTAACTGTTTTTTAAATGTTAATGCTGTATAATGTAATCTGCACGTTTGGTATAATAAAACACCTACGTAACTACCCGTATTTATCTTTAACTAGTGTATTACAATTTAATTGGTCGGATAATGAAATAAATAGGTGGGGAAAGGAGACTGAGCTTCACTCACCTTGGCACAAGCCAGAATATTGTATTATTATCAAGACTATTATTTTGAAAGTTGTAATAAATCATTGTAATTTTATACATATATACTGATTCTGAGGTGGAGCTCGGGTCTACCCAAAAGTAATCGTCAAGGTTAAAAATTCTTGACGATTCGTTGCTAATTTTTTTGCAGTTTAACCAAATCCGTTATTTGAACAACCGAGAAAATTGAAAAACTACATCTTCAGAGTTCAACCTTATTTTAATAACCAATAGAATACTAATATTTTGGATTAGTTTTCCCCAAGAAAAAACCGGTAATTTTAACACAAAATAAATGTGACTTATTGTAAACAGGATAAAAATGTATTTCTAATAATACGAGTTTTTAACTACTTTTATAGTCTTATCAATTCAAAAATAAATCGCTTTACGATCATTGTTCTCTTAGTTATAAATCAATAGGGTATTGTCGGTCAATCTGACATAATTACTATTAATTACATGATACATAATGTTAAATATCAATGAGGCTAATTTAACTTCTCGGCTGGTCCATATTTTACCACCTAACAAAACAAAACTATACACTATTCTAACCGATTTACTGATTATATCAATGACTCATTATCTAATTATAACAAATTAACGTCTCTATTTATTCTGATTCCACGTCCTTAATGGATCGTGTTTGTTCAACGATTATTTGTGTATTTGACCTCGGAGGCCCGCTGTGCATTTGTCTGCGATCTACAATGCTCGTAAAAGGTATCTACCGACCACGTTGCTCTCTGTAAATCTATTCTATAATTTACCGGTCGATATCGTCTTATCGAGATCACAATAAGCTTTACGCGTATAAACTTTCTCGTGACATATTGCTTATGGTCATACAGTTTCATAACCGTTTCAAGTGCAATTACAAACATTTATAGGTAATACGAAATTTGTAGTTTATTATTGTTATCAATGTACCAGATTATAGGTACCTATATTTGCTATATCACGTTTTCTTGTTAAATCCTAAAACGAGGAGTGCAATATTTTTCTTGCGTATTTACTATTTTCACCCTGTCCCGTTGTCTGTAAGAATGTAGGAAGTGTCCTCTTACCTGTATACAGAAACAATTGAAACAACTATTTCTTAGAAATTTCCACGAACAACCACGTGGAACTTAAATTAACGTAATTCAATTAATTCTTCAAACGACTGTGCTGTAAATCTCAAGACTTCTCATTCAGTCGGATGTGTTAGTATTCAAGTATAAATAACGCAAATATTCGAGTACACTCGAGTGCTTTACAACACAAAACGAAGTGTTTGTAGTTTGGACAATAGTACCACAGAAGTGCTAGGTGCCTTGAGCCTAGTTAGGTAACACATATATATCCACATTATAACATTATAATTCCATTAAACATTTAAACTATAATGAAAAGTTGACGGTAACGTTTATAATAATATTACGAGTTTTATTTAATATACTATTACTGATTAAAATTATATTGTACAGTGTAACGTATTACTATATTAGTCACATAGAACTTCCTATACAAGTGCCACATTTAAAATTTATGTTTACATCTCCTTACTTGCTCGTGTTACTCTCTATTGCAATTTCCTACTAATATAATAATTAATTGCATTAAGCAGAATTGAACTATATCATCATTATACCAACGTGTACATATTGTATCCAGAATTAATATACGATGACTAATCCTGTGAAGAAATATCGAAAAATATTAGTGATAAATCATTTGTTTGATTTTTGTTAATTTCAATAGAACCTTCAAAATCTCGATCAAGTAGGCACACAATAATATACGCTATACAGTACTCTACCTGTACATATACGATATACCTATGTTTGTTGTTGATGTAGTGCATTTTGTCTGCAACCTTCAATGGCGTCACCAAGTTATGTCAGAACGACAATAGTTGGTCTATATTGTATTGTAACTAGGCGAAATTGTTTTTCTGAGCTCTCTAAATAATCATTGAAAACCAATTGTAGACTTTTTTTACACTACAATTGAAAGATCAAAAAGTAAAATTCAACTAATCATTATATTATTTATTTACAATTAATTAAAAGTAGGTTGCTCACCGTGATGTATTTTTTTCTGTATTTTACTATTGGAAGATATTGACAGACAATTGCATTTTATGGCGTCTAATGAAAGTAATTCAATAGAAATAATACATCGAACTCATATTATGATTTATGATACAATTTTCTCATTCGCTTAATATAACGTTCGTAGAATAATACATATTCGTTTTTAGATAACATAAAAAATTAAAAACTAAATATTAATTTGATAATTGGACATTTATGAGAGATGTTATTTTCACATAGTTTGAATGAAAATTTAATACCTATGGCTTGAAGTGGATTTATAAAACAAAAAAAAACTTTGATTTCATTATTTTTATTACTGGGTTTCAGCAGTTTAATTATTTGTTTTTTAGGATTTCGAAATAAATAATTTTTAATTAAAACACAGTTTAAAAATGTTATTATCAAACAATGATACAATTTATATTTTCAGATTTTAGAATATTATAATTCCAAAATATCCTGATAATAAATTTCATTGAAAATCAGCACAATTTTTTATTAGGTAAAAATGCAATTATATTAGTTATACCTATCTGAGTTATTAGATATCCATTACATATTTATATTGTAATAAATTCATATATATTTTTACATACATTATTTTTAAAAACTTTAAGTACAAAACTAATACTCAAGCTACATTTACTTTGGGTTTTTTCATTTCTTTGGTTAGTTATTTTAGTTTTTTTTTTATGTGTTTTTATTTTTTTTAACCAATATTTTAAATTTCAAGTTAATATACGTTCAAGTTATACTACGTTCAATGCAATTATATTTAATCTTGACTAATCTAAATTAGTTTAAAAGCTACTAGCTAATATTATTATTATAATTCTTAAATAAATATTAAAATATGTACTTATATATTATCTCCTCATAATATTTAAAGTTAAAATAAAAATTAATTTTTTTCTCAAATTTAATGAGACTATATTTTGAAACAATTTTACTGTATGTTTCATGTACAACCAAAACGTCAAAAATGTTGAAAGGTTTATTTTATGGTTTTCTATATTTTTTTATAATTTAAAAAAAATATATATTTATCTTAAATTTAATATAAATATTATAATTGGGTAGGTACCTAGCTATCTATGACAGTTATTGTAGTTCACTATCTGGACAATCGGGATAACCTCGAGCTGGGTCCAACATTCCAAGTATGGCATAAGTTGGTCCCCGATGTGTTATATTGAGTTACCCACTAGTTTTTTTCCTATTTATTTATTTGGGAAAACTCGAGTTGGGTTATGGCAGCCTATTAGCTTTACTCAGGAGATATCACGTGGAGGTTGGCTGGATGGTCATCAAAAAAATATAGTTTCTTCATTCTTGTTACTCTGATCTAAATGATTATTCAATATGTTTGTTTCATATTATTTACAATTATATGTAGATTAATTTTATTTTTCCCACAATTTAACTATGAATTTAGAAAATGGCTCATTATTTTAAAAGAAATAAAAATGTCCAGGAAATCAAAAAATTGATTTTTTGTTGAAACGTTTAAACTATTCTACCAATTTGTTACCTAAAAGTATAGACTATAATGTAACGTTATGAACATGTAAAATAATATTTGTGAAGGGAAATCTGATTAAGTAAACAATCGATACAATTTTTAGATGATACGTTTTTTTCAAAATACATCTGAGGATGTTGGTTATTTTAGTATTGACAAGATATGGGTTTTTCTCCCTCATAGAATACCGGCGTCAATGTGTGTATGAAAATAAGCAGCAAAGTCAATTTTGATAAGAATTCGGAGTGAGCTCTTTACGATTTTCACAGTTCAATTAATTTTTGAATTATTACATCTAATATTATTAGTTTTTTCCTAGTATTTCAATTATTTATTTATTATACTAAGCTCAAATTTTTTTGGTCACGTTTAAAGGCAATTCAATTATAAAACAAAACAATCCAACAACTGCACTGCTTCACAAAAGGTAAACCAAAAAGACACTTAAGATAAGGCACCTATAACATTATCTGAACTTTTATAATATGCCTTTGATAGTTGTTGTTACATTTTCACCACCAACGTAGCACTAAGTGAAATCTGGAAGTTTTATTTCAAAGGACACGAGTTGTTACTGGGAACCCAATTCAAGTAGTATCAAATTACTAAGTCATTTACTCAACAAGTGATTAATTTTAGGGTGATCAAATATCTTGGAACACATCTCGAGTTTTCCGAATTATCGTGACAAATATTAGTGAAAACATATTTATTTATTAGTTTTTGAATTGATTTCAAATGTTTATATCAATTCATAAAATAATGAATTTAACAATTAAATTATATTTTACCGCGAATTTGAAGATTGGGTGCACTCTTGATTCTCATAAGACGTAACATATATTTATCATAATGCAACATAGGTAACTACATATCCTAATATTATTATTAATTACCTACCTACGTCCGCCCGCCTCTGATAATCTGTGACACTGGCCCAGTAGGTATTGAAGTATCGTCATCCTAGACCTGTGAAACCTTTCAATATTTTTTGTGGATAATTTTATGAAAAAGGAATATATTGTAGTATTAGATTACTTTTATACTATCATTATTACATTTTGGACATTGGGAAATTCAGAGATTCGAGGTTTATTATAAAAAAGATTAAACACAATTTCAATAAAATGTAATATTTCTTTAATAGTTATAAGTTTAAATATTATGTTATACTCGTTTTATAAACATTATTCACTCCAAAAACCGTACACGAATTTCCATAACCACGTTATTTATTATTAGTAGGTACCTAGTACCTATAGTACTTGGTATTATCATTATTTTATGTATAAAGTATTATTGTTTTTTTAATTCTGCGGTAGAATAGGTATAGTAGCATCTGAGAAAAAAATATTACTCGGAAATTCACGTAAGGCTCAACCTATTTTTTTTTTTAATTTGGTTTAGAGTAGGTAAAGACGTAGAGTAGGTTATCAATTATTGTAATGATGATAATTATAATAAGAATCATACCTAATAATGTTATTATTGAAGTATTAACAAAATAAATTATGACTGTTATTTCCACATAATATATTTATGAGTAATGTTAATCTGCGGAGTAAACAAATACTTTTTTATAGGGAATGTAAAATTTACTTAAATCTAAAATGGAATACAATCAACTACACTAAAAAATCTGTAATCACTAAAATGTATACTAAAGAGTAAAGGTACAATTTGGTTGAAAAAGCACTGGTAAGAATGTAAAATATAAACAAATTAAGGGTCTTACAACGAAGCGAATGATTTTAAATAAGAAGAGTATAATATAACTTCTGATGAAGGTCGCATTTAATTCACATCTGAGTCGTTGTGGTATTCTGCATTTAAGGCGTTCTGAAACAAATTTTAATGAAGGTATAATATTAGAATTTTCGTTTATGTGAAACAAAATAGGTAGGTATTATAACAAGAAATAATATACAATAATGAAACCCAACACGGGCTAACGGAATCACATGGAACAAACAAAAACAATATTTTAAGACAGGTTTTTAGAATGAAAAAGAAAATCTTTCATATCAGACATATTATTTCTGTATGATATATTATTACAACATAAACTATAAAGGTGTTAGTCATTTTTTTGTTTGTTCAATAAAATAAATAAATTATAAAACATTTTGACCGTCAAAATCTATTAAATAATATACTTTTTTAAACAATTACATATAATAGTCACAAGATGACTCAAACACAAGCACAATTCCAAACTATGCTCAAACTCACTTCAATACTATCTCACCGAAACTACCCCCAGTCTACATCAAAGGCGAGAGTAACTTTTCCAGTTTTACCTCAAACTTGTAGTAAATTATTTACTCTACAGAATTCATCTGTAAAACCACACCTTCCTACCCGATCATCCACACTAATTTCTATGAGCATTATCGTTTACTCATTAAATATCTAATCGAAAACAGTTATAGCTTTCATTCATATCAGCATATGATAAACGTTTACTACGCGTAGTGATTCGTAACCTTCACCTTTTCACTTCAAGTGAAGATATTATTTCTTCTCTTTTGGAGGTCATTGGACCACCCGCGTTCATAATATAAAGCGATTTTCCTATAAATTACCGTTGCCACTTTTCTTCTTTAATGTTAAAAAAGCCACCAAAAACTCAGATTCATACAAAATCGAATTTTCGTTGCATACCAAAATAGTTGTCATCCATCCAAAAAACCACCTCACTGTTATCGCTGCCTATCTTATGGGCGCACTCAAAAATTCTGCAATCACGTTCGACTGTGTATCAGATGTGGGGAAGAACACAGCTCTGCCAAATTCACTACGACATCAGACACCCCATATGTGCACTATGCGATGGTAGTCATCCAGCCAACTGGCAACTATAAAGGCTGTTCAGTGTGTAAAAAACTTAAATCTTCAAAAAGTCATACTCGACGAGTAGTGTCACTCCTGCACCCAGAACCAAAGTTAACTTTCCTAAGCCTACTACAAATCCCAATTCCGATGAACCACCGTATGCTCAAGCTACTTCTTCCAACCAAAACTATCCCCACTTTCATTCGTACATCGAAACATTATTTTCTTCTTTTATCTCTGAGTTCACTGCTATCATGAAGCCCATTCTGTCCTTGTTTACAACTTTAAGGTCAATTATAATAATCTATACCATTGTACGTATTTCCATCAATATTGTTATTATTTTATTTTAATTTATTAGCTAATATGATTAGATTCATAATTGTATACACTTATGACTTATTTATCTTAAATTACTTTATCTAAACATTTATACGTACCTATACTACCTAATTTATCAATATCTATCTATATTGTGTTTACATATTTTATTTGTTTTGAATTGTACCCATCTTTTATTATTATTTTAATTGTGGAGCTATATTAATTTATACTAGCAGCTAAGAAAAAAAATGTCAAGTTGATAATATGGCGTGTAACATAATATAAAGATACAATTCCAATTCTAATTCAATTAAATTAAGGTAAAAATGTATTAGTTGTAATGTAATTCTGATTCCATACGTATTTCGAATTAAAATTATAATATAATATTTAGTGTGAATGTTTGTATAAATAATTGAATATTTAAACTTATGGTAAGTAGTGTGATACATAAGACGATTAATTCAATAATAATTTACATTTTTAACATCTAGAAAAAAACAAATTTATTATTTATATTCATGTTTTTTTATTTCAAACAACACCTATAATATTAATATGGAATAAATATGATGATAATTAATTGGAAAGAGTTGAAAAAAAGTTACATTCATTAATAAATATTTTCTCTAAAATTTTCCTCTGTACATAGGTACATAATATAATAATATTATACATTTTTAAAGATTATTTTCAAAGTGAACATAAAGCAAAATAGAGTGATATATTACACTAAAGTGTTTACTGATATTGATGTCAGTTTAATTTTTTAATTTTATTTAGAGTTAACTCAATATAAATTGAAATCCCTTGAGCAATTATAACATGTCTAGGTACGAAATATGACTGACGACGGTGGCACTCCGTTTTAGAATTTCGTGCGAAATACAAGCACGATGTGGTCGTTTCTATCTTTCGTTCAATTTGATATTAAACAAGACTGCACCACAAAAGTATTGAAAAATATTTAGTTTTATCAAAAATATGTTTAAAAATCCAGTTATTATTGCAGTTAGATGTATCATGTGATCAACCAATTTTTATTTTTATTATTGTACTGGAAAAATATACTTATAAGAAACTCTAAACATATTATTATGTTGTGTTGTTAAAAACCAGTAGTAAAAAATAATCTTGTATTTTTATAATTAAGTTCTCACGCGGCTAAAACAAATAATATGTATCATTTAATTAACTGGAAAAAATAAATACAGAATATCCTATGTAATTAAAATTACTTAATTTTTGTAGATTAAGAACATCGACCTATATGAGTGTATAAAGGTGAAACAAACTACCAACGTACACGTTTCAGATCAATGTCGACCAATCCCAGTGGGTGCTCGCGTCTCGTGTTCGAACTTTGCCATGTTAATATTATTTAATATTATATATAAACTATATGTATTATACGTCCAGTTTTAATTAGTTTTTATTCAAACGAAACCTATTTTGATCCACCGTCGCAGTTGTCCATTGCACATTAATGCATAATACGTCAGTAGATGACACAAATTCTTACAGGTACCTTGTACCTACACGGAATCACACAACTTCACTCTTAGGTCATAACTTTTATAACATTATGACCTCTATTTTATAAAGCTATTGAAAAATTATGCGATTACTTTTTCGTCTTCAAATCCAATTTATGGTCATAAATATGAATTCAATGAAGTCAATCAATTTTTAACAAATCACAACATGTGGCTTGTCATTAATTCCATCATCCTATGATATACGTAATGGAGTCATGTAAAATAAAATATGACTGAAGCGGGTCGATTTTATTTTGCACAATAACAAAAGAACTCAACCTCAACTATAATATTATTATTATGTCTTGAAGAAAATAAACGATGGCATACCTAAAATCGAATTTCCGTTTAAAATGTTGTATTTTTGACACTGCATTTACGTAAACATTTACACTAATATTACTACGTGCATATTTTTCCCTTCCATCAAGAGTGCCAGTGAATGCCACCGTAGAGAGATCTTTTTACTTAGCGTACCTTTCGTAGTAAGAATATGTCTGATGCAATTTGTAACTCTATTAAACACGAATTGTCAGAAACTTGGTGAATACAAAACATTGATCATCAAACAAACATTTAAATAAAATATAAGAACTTATACTACTGAAATTCTCATTATTTCTACAACTTATGGAATCATTTCGTGGCCAAAAATCGATTTAATAATAGGTTAATTGGAAAATAAGAAAAATGAATAGAATAAAAAATTAAAAACAAAGCCGTGAGGATTTTGACGAAAGCCTATAAATTCAGATAATACATTATACCTACTTACGAACAGATATGCCACTATTCGTTCGAATCGCTAATGAGATAGAAAAATAAAAAATTGTGAACACAAATTAATATAGCCCTGTACCTAATGTACAGGATTTTCGTTATGAGCTTATTATTTTGTCATAATATATATATTTTTTACATTGCTAAATGGTATTATAATAAAAATTAAGGCAGCGCATTGCCTTGCAATTTTAAACTCAGAAATTAGCACATAATAGTATTAAATTACAGTGACATTTTAAATGTAATTTTAAATAAAAATATGAAGTACGTTTCTTGCAGCAAGTGGGGAGGGATGCAAAACAACAACGAGATGACTATGTACATACTTTCGCGAGTCATAATAATGACGGGACTCGTTTCGTAGAGTTGTATACGGCATATCTTATTACCACAATGAGTAAGTATGATTTAAAATTCAATTGCAGTAAAAATTATTATACGACGGTAAAAACGCATATCCTTTTGCGTCTAAACCGTTACGCTGCAATGTTTCTCTTTGATTATCGCGGGGCGGAAGATGTGTACCGTAATTGTGTTTGACACATGAAAATAAATCACGAGGAAAATATCGATACCCAGTTTGACTCTAGGGATACAAGATTTAATTTAAACTTCATTGACCAATAATATGTATTTTACTTGTCGTCAACACTGCGATATAGATAGTGTGGTATTTTTAGATTTTATTTTGTACAACCTTAAAAGGTTGTGGTGTTTTCAAATATCACGTTGAAAACCCAAAAAATAATATTATAAAACACGTGGGTAATAATATCGTGGCAAGTAATATTATATTGCGACGTTTTAGAAAGTGTATATAACTTAGGTTGTCTGGCGGTAACTTTTACGTGTACAAATTAACATTGAATGACATACGAAGTAATATCGTAGGTAATACAGAGTTTTTGGACAAATAATATAATGTAGTTATGTTCTCTATTTAAAATCCCATTCTTACATTTAGTTTAGTGTAGATAATAATAGTTCAAGTTGCAAGTATATAAATGGTATGTTATATAGATTCATTATAGGTATAATAGGTATCGTATTTTGTAGAAGTTATTATGTTAATCTTTGAATAAATTTTAATTTGGTATTATGCATTAGTCATTAATCATTATAGCCTATAAGTACATTAATCTTAATAAATATTAAGATATACAAATGATAGGTATTAAAATTTGATAATGACCCACAATATTACAACTCACATAATCGAGTATTATTATTATTGCATTTTAGACAAAATATATTGTACTCCTATAATAATATAATAATTCATATACTTATGATATTGATGATTAAGGAGTGTTTACGCATTGTATATTTGTATAAACATTTTATTGTGGATTTTTAATT